AACTTTCCTCCGCACTCTGTCCTCCAGAGGTATTCCAATTCTTTAGCGCTTTAAAATTATCCATTCTGCAAACAATAAAAACCGAGTATTAAATATTGTAGAACGAACGTTAAATTAAGAGGACATTAAAATATCATAATGTAAAGTATAAGAAAAATTCTAAACAAAAATGAATATAAAGTTGTAATGGAATATTCGTTGTGGCAAATTTATCGCTGCTAATTGTGATTTAGACCTAGCAATGTTAAAAAATACCTAAATGTAGAACGATCAGGGATTAAACTTACCTAAAATAATCGCAAAAACTGCAGCAAAAGTCTCCGAAAATACTCGAAACAATCGCATTCGAACAAAGCAACAGACAAATTGTCGAAATTCTATTGTTGCGTTGCGTCTCAGTTTAATGCTAAAAATATCGATATTTTGACAGAATTTCGATTTCTGGGTTTCTGAGTCTGTGTTTCTATAGAAACGGACCATTTATATTTTTGTCTGTAGTCTTTCACTCATGCCCACAGAGACGAGGCGTAATCCATTTTGTTAGAGTTAGGATGTTCAATGACGATTATAAACTAAATTGTATTTAATTTAGAATCTTTTGGAACTGTTGTTTTTATATTGTTAAACCCATTGTAGATCTATAAATGCCCACTGTCCAGTCCTCCCTCAAAATGAAAACTTTAATATTTCGGAAAATTAATATAAAAATTTGTAATTGTCGCTTTTATTTCCCTGTAAGGTTAGATTGTACTAGAACATATTGCACTTAGATGGCTGCACTCAAAGAACTGTTTAGGTTGTCTGTAGGAGCCGACATCTCCGGAAGTAGTACTGTTGTATCTCCAGGAAGCGCGAATAAACAGTAAATTGACGAAGAAAGAGATTCATACGTTCTTAATGACATATGAGTATGCAAGACAACCGACGATCGCTTTTAATCGTCATGATTAAACAATAAACAACAGCACTTAGAGATTCATTATGTACTTTTTAAAGTATTGTTTTTATCCTAATAACTTATTTTCTAAAATTATTGTAAATGCATATTTTCGAAAATACAGCATTTTGTGTTTGTCTAGTTATGTTAGAAAATGACTATTAATCAGTTATAATCACTTGTTATAAATTTAGCCGATACTTAAAAGCAAAAATAAGTTATTTGCTGATTTCTTGGCTTATACGTAAACTTTCATAGATTTCTCTGCTTTGCATAAATATGTTTGCACTTTACACTATTAGAATTTTATACAAGTTACATAAATATTATTATATTTATGTAATTTGTAATTATGGAATTCTCTCGAATTCCGGCACAATGAACTATATACGAACGTTTGGTGCCAATTAATAGATTACCGGTGTTGAAGGAAAAGTATGATTTACAGAGGAAAGCCACTACTAATTTTAGATGGAAAACGTATATTTTAAATTTAATAAATTATAAATATGATTAAAAATTAACTTGTGGNTATAGAATTATATATACTCTCGCGATTGGTTTCTATAGTATATTGTTAGCTAATGTCCAAGTGGATAAAACCTCCGAACACTGGTCCCAAGTTCCCTGTTTATTAACGGATTGGTTGCGTGGAGTCAGAGACGTAAAAAGAACCGCTAAACATGTAGATACGTGCCCGTTTTCCACAAAAAGTTTTGCCAAAAGGAAAAGTTGATAACATAGTTCAATCTGTCTTATCAACTGTTTATAAGATAGTGAATCATATCTGATCTATCTTATCAATGCAATTCAATCCTATCCTATTCTGTCATTTAAACATTAGTGATGTTGAGGCCGAAGTTTTAAACGCGAAATCGTGTACGTCAGACGTTCAGCGACGTTTTCCTGTAAGCCTAGACGTTTAACAATGATGTTTGGAATGTCGAGCAATATTACAAAATTTACACCTTACTAAAGTCTTGTGAATTTGTTTTTTATTTTACAGTACTTTTATTTTTAAAATAAACTGCTACTAAAATTCAATTTTAAATCGTTAATTCAGTAAATAAATAATGCAGAATTAAATTAATATTCATTTCATAAAATATATGTCAACTTTTAATTGTCAATTTTTAAATATTAATTAACTTTCTATCATCACTTTGTAAACCGTCCTCTATACGCGGAAGTAGCGTAACGACATGAATAATTTTTAAAATCTTCAAACATTTTCCGGTATATAAATATATACCGGATGATCTGATAACGGTAGAACTCGCTCTACTTCCCCTTGACTTCTGGTTTCGTTTGATTTCCATCAGAAAACATGAAATTGTGTAGACCCATCTTTTATAATATTTTATTTAAAAGCACTTTTTATATAATAAATTATTATGAATTGGTAAAACCTTAATTTTCAGAGTAAACATTAGTTTAATTAAAAAAACAAAACAAAGTAAATGCTAAAAGCGAGTAAAATCTTCATTAACTCTGATACATTTAATCTATCCATCCCATTGTAACAGAGAGGTGGAACACATCTAATATCTCGTGCGATGTTAGACTTAATTTAATTTCACCCTCAAATATTTAATAGCATTAATGATCTAATTCACAAACCTCTCTGCAAAATTTCAGAAATTTTCCACAAAAAGTACGACAGTTATTAAATAAAAACTGCAATTATACGAAATTTACTTTAAAAATCTGTAAATATTTCAATATTTTGATAATTTTTTTTCTATTAAATCCTCTGTCCAATGCGTTAAAATATGTCGTTACAGTAAATGATTTCTCTTTGTTGTTATTTCAATTAAATATTTATGAATTAATATTAATTAAGTTTTATTCGTATATATAAAANAATAAATTATAAATATGATTAAAAATTAACTTGTGGCATTGCGACTAAGTCACAATGCTAAGACAAAATTTCTCATTTTGTCTTGAAAAGGGGCCAGTATAGTTAAATTGATTTAAAGTTCCTCGCCACAAGATAAAGAAAGAAAGAAAACTCACAGTTTCAAGACCAGAATCCAACTAAGATAAAGAAAATTGACAGAATTCTATAAATTCCGTTGTTTTTGCTGTACTTTAGGCGAGATTTCCGATTCACAGGTACTTAAGAACTTACCTGATATAATCATATCATCAGTAGGCTACATAAAACTTTGGTTCTTGCTTTCAGAAACATCAATGAAGATTTATTTAAAAAAAGCTATAAATATTGAAGTGAGAACAGAGAGTTTGATAGGAAACATTTTTATGATTTTTAGTCAATGTTTTAGAATATTTTAAAGCTGTAAAAAGATAGAAAGTTTATTTTTCTTGTCACCTTTACACTTCCCGTGAGTCATTTGAGAAGTGACTTTTTTCTTTCAGAAGTGAAAGTATCACCTCATAGTTCCCTTAGGAACAGAGTGTGAAAGGAATCGTGACAATCCTACTGATTCTGTATGTAAGGTAAAGATCACCTCTTTACCGCGCTTTTAATTATGTACCGGTAAAGCCGTACTTATAGCTACAAGCTATAATTAGCTTTCTGATTAAGTTTCGTCCTTATTTTGGATTATGAAAGAATGATATAAGAAGTCTTNGCCTCTTTACCGCGCTTTTAATTATGTACCGGTAAAGCCGTACTTATAGCTACAAGCTATAATTAGCTTTCTGATTAACTTTCGTCCTTATTTTGGATTATGAAAGAATGATATGAGAAGTCTTTCATTCAAGAAAAGGGTCTTACGGAACATCTCCAGGTAACGAATGAAATAATTGTAAAACTTTCTGGCCGCCGTGAATAAGTGTAAACTTTCAGACAGGGCCTGCTCTAGCGGTTACGTCGCTTCGGACAAAAAGACAAATTGCCGCACCTTAAGAATATATATATTTAAATAAAGGTACATATTTTTTTTATTTTCAATAAAAATCAAATCATTTTATTTAAATTTTAATAAAAGCATATATTTAGAAAGGAACATATAACATAACATTGATAATCAAAGAGTACAAAACAGTAGAAATTAATTAAGAAATATCTGTACCTAGCCACAAATTGTTACCCATATAATTGTTTACATTTTTAAATGCTATTAAACAATCAAAATGCCATTATTTTAAAAATAAAACTGCGCTAAAATCACAATAAACTTTTTTTCTTACTTTCAGTTCTGCAAACTTTTTTATCGCATCACTTTGTGAGATAAGCCGAAGGCTGTAGGGGGGTAATTAAAAAATATTATTATTTATTAGATTTACCTTGGCCGGGCCGTGAACCCGGGTCTATGTTGACTGTAGTCCAAGCACGTCCTCTTACCAGAAACATTTCGGAACTCATATTTGAGACAAACGAGCCCAAGGTCAGCACAAGGTACAGTCTGACCAACTCAGGAAAACTCCGCTTAGGCGATGGACTAGTTTACTGGCCATTGGCTGGAGTAAATATGCATTATGTGACTGGTCAGTATAGTTTAATTCACGTCTCTTCCCTTTAGGTATGTCAACCGGATGCCAGCTGACTCATGTTATACCTCACCCATGAGAATGATTAGTAAAGCAGTCCAATGCCTAATTAAAGTGCCTTACTGGATTAGTCAGATTGTAAACAAATATTGGTCCCAGCAGAGTACTGAACTGCGATCGAGACATTCGAAGGATATGCGCCCGGAAGTCGTCACTTGACCATTTGGCAAATTGTACAGTATATCTACAGGCAAACACTTTACAAATGACATCTATGTTTGGTCGGTGAAAGAAATATAATTTTTGTTTAAAATAAATGAACCGTAAAAAAACATTCTTAAAAATTAATGTAATATGCGATATTGAGGTGTGTAAAAAGAATACAGTAGAACCTCGGAAACTCGGCCTAATGTGGACCGAAGGGTGGCCGAGTTTGTGAAAATGCCGGGTTATCGGGAATGGGGTTAAAAAAAATAAGTGCGAGTGTTTCCTCAGAAAATACTGTACTNAACGCTAAAAAATAATTATTCATAAAGTAATGAAAAATATTCACAAAATAGAATTAAGTGTAATGCCTAACTTTCAGATTTTTTCTGTTTCTTATTGTTTTTTTCATTTGTTTTCAGATAAACAGTCGTTTTCACACATTAGTACTATAAAATCATGGAATAATGACACGAGAGAATGGCCACCTTTGAAATATCCTGCTATATTTGAATATCATAATCACACGCTTTACCTTTAATATCAAGAAATGTTCAACTATACGAGTCTTGACTCTTATAATTTTTTTTCAAGTGGTAAAGTAAATAAATTTTAATTAATAAATTGTCAAAACATTTGTATCCTTAAGACAAATATAGAGGCATCACAAACCCTATCTGCCAGTAATTATTCTGTATTGACTTGTGTGTCTAGTGATGGCAAAGTTATTTATCTAGCTGGATGTATACACTGCATATAATGTTGGTTACCCATTCTCTTCTTAAATTTATATCATGTGAAAATAAACGGAACTGGAATGGTTGAATACGGGGTAAGTTTGAAATGAATGATGCTGTTGGTACCTTAAGAGCAGTACACTTGTACTACTGTATATTATACTGTAAATAATCAGTATTATAATTTACCTCTTCAAACGATCGCAGGTTTTTTCATACAAAGATCGAACCTTATCCAAGACCTCTTTACAAGCAAGATCGATGTGATTGTCAAATATATTAGAGCACTTAGAAGTACTTTCTATTGATTTAACCTGCTGTAGGAGGCCTTTGTTCTTCTTTGCACGGAATCTAAAATGATCCATATTGTTTGGATTGACGAATCCGTGCAGATCCAAACTCTCCCTAAATATAAACAGATAAAATTTGTATCACAATTAATATTTATTACAGAGAGGTTCCTTTTGTTTTCAAATTTAAATATACATTTGTTTCCCAAAGAATAGTTTGAAAAAATACAGAGAAATTATATTACTATGAAAAAACTTTTCATTTAATTGCTCATAATATTTCGCATGAAACTATAAACTATATTTTGGTATTTTACTTTGCTAAATTCGATTTTCTCTACGAAGTTTATATTATTTTACAGTATAAGATTTATGGTTATGTTCTTCGGCTGTTTTGCTAATTATTAAGAATATTTATAACGGTTTTAGTTTAATACCGATTGTGATTTTTCAATACTTCTAGAAGTATCCGAGAATCAAAAGCTTTATATTTAATTAAGGGAATTGGTATTGATTAACTATAATTTGGTCAATAAATTACACTTTAAAACCTGCAATTTCTTCTATAAATTGTTATTTGAATAAATAAGAATAAAATGTTAAAAATCTCTCACCTGAAGGGATCATCCAAAGGACGATACCCAGCAAAATCGAAATTTATTTTCCAAGACTCGAAAATCGCACTCTTTACAACAATAAGAGCAAACCAACAACGGTCAATTGTTCAGTTCATTTGTTACGCTTAAAATTTTTTTGTACTTTTAATTTGAGAACTTGATTCAGTCGTTAACGACAGAAGTATGAAGAAAATTCTTTAAATTCTTTCACCATATTTCAGTCAATAGTTTTATGAATTTTCCGACAGTCCGAATTGGATTTTGGGTCCTTCAGAGCAGTAGAGTGATTACTTGAACGTCTTGACCATTCAGCACTATGCAGACGCTAGCCAGCGAGAATATGTGGCGAGAAGAGGTGATGACGTTTCACGCTGTTTGTTTCTCGCTTTCGTTCCTTACGACCACACAAGCGAGAGAGAAACTGAGAGTCGTTTCCTCTTATCGCCACATATTTTCGCTGGCTGGGAAAATTCGTTCGCTCACATCTGCATAATCGCACCCTTATATTGTTAATAGCCCGAGGTCTAGGAGAAAACTAGCTGTTACTCGCGACTTCGTTCGCGGAAGTTTTGCAATCAAACCCTATTTATATTCAGTATCTCAACAACCAAAGTAATTGTTATATAACACCTATTACTGAGAATGATGAGAAGTGCCGAGAATCAAACGAACCGTTTTCAATTTTCTGATGAATTTTCTGGAATGTGTACAATCGTTCTATAATCGAACCAATAAGCAGAAAAAAATTCGAATTTAAAACGGTTCGAACATTTGGTTAAAAAATCGAAATATATAAAAATATTTATAATAATGTCTGAATCGAAATGCTCTCTCTCCATCCCGCGGGGGAATTTCGAAAAATTCCTTCTTAATTAATTAATGTGCATTCCCATGGCATACCCTACTAAAACTCAGTTAAAAACAAAAAGTTGCATCTAAAATATTACAGTAGAAACCGTTTTCCAGTTTAACCTCAATGCTCTCCTTCTCCCCCGATTGGAAATTTCGTAAAATCCTTTCTTAGTGTGCGTTTTCATGACGTGCTGTACCCTTACTCTGTACCAAATTTCACCTGTTTAGGTTCAGCGATTTGCTCTGGGCGATGATGAATCAGTGACTCAGTCATTCAATCAGGACAAGTAATTTTATATATATAGATTACGGCAATTATCTTCTTTAAAATTTCAATAGTAATATAATAATGTGTACAGTGTAATACGCATGACGAAAGACTATCTTATATATTACAGTATACTTTTATGTAATTATGCAAGCAATATAAAATGTATTTGACGTATAACTTATTCTATGCTGTACAGCGTATGACCTATACTAAATTATTAGTACAGTTTATTCGAGGATTAATGCATTAGTCTATTTTTCTATGAATGAATCGGGGCGAGTCCCCCTAGCAGTCTAACTATGTATGAAAATTTTATAAAAATATGATAATTACAATCACTTTGGATAGAATAAATATTCAAATTAGAGCCGGGGAAGTTGAAAGTAACATAAATCAGTATCAGAGAACCACGAAAACCTTCGACTTGAAGAAAATTCGAGTTAAGCGAATCTAAATCGGAAAATTCAAAGAAATTTTAGTTAAAGAAATATTCGAATTACAGACATCTAACTTACAGAAATTTTACTGCAAATACACAAAAAATAAAAAATAAACTCAATGTTGAAACCTATAAATTTTACTGTAAATGCCTCCACCAACAGTAAAAGTTGTAACTCACCGCGTGACGCGACAAGGCCGGGTCACACAAGTTAGGGTTCAAATTTAACTAAAAGTATTAGGTCAGGACTTTATGGAAACATATATATATATATATATATATATATATAAATTCAAACACACTTAAATATTTATTGTGAATCTCTTTTCTTATTAGATTGAACAACAACAAATGATTAATTATTTCCAAAGTTAGTATAATTTTCAAAAATGTCAAATAATCGACTAACAAGAAAACAAAGAATATACAATTGAACAAATAGAAGTATTATTTTTTATAATAGTACAATTTAAGACCCTATCTTTACTCCAAAAAAATACTCAATCACGGTATACGTTGCTTACGCTTAATTAATCACTTTTTTTGACGTGTCGCCAACGGTCGTCGTTAGGAATTACACCACACGCAGTAGTGGCCGATCCGCCTTTTATTCGAAGCTCACGGCAGCTTCGCACTGCCTTAATTTACATTACCTATGACTGTCCCATCGCGCGATCCAAATTTGTATCTTGCCTTTTGAACTTTTTTAAATGAGGGTTTAGGAGTTTGTTCTTAACCCTTTATTCCCATTGACGAGTTAATTCGTAAGCTTACATAGCGTTACGAAAAACGCGGTCCTTAAGGCCACTTTTGACAAATTTTTTTTTTGAAATTTTGGAATGTTTTTAGGTCCCCAAATTTTTTCAAAATTTTTTGCCCTCGCGAAAAAATTTTATCGCGATTTTAATTAGCCTTTGATAAGGCTCGATTAAGGCTTAATTGTTTTTTAATGGGAGTTTTTTATGAAATTTATTTCATGGTTCCTAAGTTTTAGTGCACGGATTTGACTTTGGTAAAGTTATTTAAAGCTAGTTTCTGATGTCAAAAACGACCTCCAATAGTTTTTTAATTTACAGTGGTGCCTCGTATAACGTACGCCTCGAATAACGGACTTTCTGTTTGACCGTTACGTGAGACGAACAATGGACTTTTTTCGAACAAGTGCGAATGATGTTTCCACTCTTTTGCCATTGCCAATGACAATCTGCTATTTTTATGATATATTAGTATTATTAGAATGTATTATTAGTATATCTGAAGTAGAAATGTAATGTAATATATGTTGATGATTTAAATAAACATTAAATGTAATGTAATATATGTTGANTCCTTAATCATTGAATATGGAACAGAGATTAAAGCAATTATAAAGGGGATGTATATAATATTGTCATTCTCCACGATATGTGAATTTGGTCAGAATTCATAATTATTGGTATGGAATGCTTGAAAATACGAATTAACACACTAGTGATAGGTACAGAACTGTACAAATGAATAAACGAAATGCATCTGTGGCCGAAATCGAAATAGGTCAGTTGGGAGAGCGTTAGACTTGAAGATCTAAAGGTTCCAGGTTTCGGCAGACATGTGTGATTATTTTCCTGTTTTAAAAGTAATTTGATACTAAATCAAATACTTATACACTTTGATTAAACTACAAATCATTGCCAAAGTTAATTCACTTTATATTTGGATTCAGATACTGACAGTTCAAACGAAAGCAGGACCGTGCAAGCCGATAGAGCCTGACTGATACGTCATCTAAGCGTAGCGCTAGCTGGTTACTGTTATTGAAATTCAGTGTTGTGATAAATGCAGATATCTTACGCTATCAAAGCAGAGCATTTTCATAGCGTAAGTTATCGAAAATTAGGAAGATTTCTTATGCGAGTCTATTTGCAATCTCTGTATTTAATAAGGTTTACGTTAAATTTTAAAGTGCAACAGGATAAAGCATGTGTAATGGGAATTTTGAATTGTGCATTGGTAATTTCATTTTTATTCAGTAACTAATTGCTCAATTTCGGGTTTAACTAGTATTTTTGTCTTATCGTCGTTATTCTTAAATTCAGAGGAAGAAATCACTTTTCCTTATTGAGGTATATAATTTTTATATCTACTATTGCGGATAGTTTCGAGATTGCAGTACATGTTAGTCGGCCATATTATTTTGCATTATGCTAAAGTTAAAATATTTACCTAAATTACATAGTTTATATATTTCTAGTATAAAAATAAAATAAAATAAATATTTTTCTGCAGCCGCAATATCAATATTATTATTTGAAACTATAATTCACAAATCCACAACTTCAATCCACTTGTGTAATAAATTATAACCATATCCGGGGCACGGTGTGCATTGCATATGTGTAACAATTAAGAATGAACGATGATTAAAATTAATAAATAACGAGCATTTGTTTAATGAATTTTTAATGTGCTGCAATTTTTTCAGGTAGAGTTAATATTTAGATGCACTAATTTCAGCTGGAGAACATAGAATATATGTTTTCTACCTGAAATTAGTAGTGGCTTGCTCTGTATGTCATACTTTTCGTTTAACAATAGCTTGATTTAACATGCTGGTCATCTATACAATACCTTATGGAAAAATTTTCAATTTAAATAAGATAACGTCAGGTTTTTCGTGCACATCGCTAATGATGGTAAATGCACTAGTTTTATGATGCCGTCTCCTCCCATTTTACAATTGAGCCTTCTACCTTCGTCTTGGTGAACGACATTATAAAACACTGTTATTTTTTCATGATGTATTTATGTTCTTTAAAACGTACTTCCAGATTTCTGTTTGGGACTTCCATATATGATTTCTTGACTCATAACTGTTCGTTTACATAAGAAATTATATAGATAAGCTACAGAATAAAATCGAAATTTCACTGCTACTATTTTAGTTGCTTTCACATTTTTCGATACCAATAAATACTTACACGTGTTTTTAGATGAATTTTCTGTCATACTTAGGGGTTTTTAGAAGTGATATGCTACATATTTAAAAATACGATTTTTCACAAAACGGCATCAGTATTTTACTGTTCGTAGACTGTGAATTTAGTCGGAAATCATAATCATTAATAAAGAATGCTTGATTGAAAACAAAAATTAAGACAGCGGTGAGAAGCCCTCGATGAACAAATGAATAAATAAAATAGCGAATACTCGTGGCCGAAATAGCTCAGTTGGGCGAGCGTTAGACTGAAAATCTAATGGTCCCTGGTTCGATCCCGAGTATCAACAGACGTGTTTGCGTATTTTTTTGATGTTTTAAAAGTGATTTTGAAATATAGAATCAGTTGTTTATATCCTTTGAACTTCAAATCATTGCCGAAATTAACACAGTTTATATTCAATTTGTGTGTAATTGTGATGACAGTAGATCGAACGAAAAGAGAGCTCTGGAGAAGTAGTGCAAGTCGTTAGCTCTAGAGTACTCATGATGAAAGTGGTCATACGAAAACTGCCGTCATGTCTTTTCCAGAGTGCACATTTAGATGCAACAACATACTATAGTTAGTTAGGCAAATGGAAATAATCGCAGCACGCTAAATAATGTTGATTACGTGAAATTTGGCCATTCTTCGAAGGATACAAGAATATATAAGTGTGAGAGTCCGGATCTGGTAAACATTTATCAACTTTCCTTTTTATAAACTTGTATGTTTGCTTTCAAGTAAAGCGAAATAACGAATAATAATATAAAAAATGAACTTCTTTTTACTTGATAAAAAACTGAAGGGATACGATCTGCGAGACTAATCGGGGGTAGGATGTTTACGAGGATGTTCCTCTCCTACCACTTACTCGAATCAAGACCTTAAGGTCCGGTCTCGCTTGTCTAAAGGATGGGGAAAAATGGGTTAGGAGCAGTGTTGCCACAATGAAATTTCAAAACGTACTGAAGCGGCTTCAAAAAATGTACTATTTTCCTTCAAAATGTACTAGTACTATGAATACTTTGTTTACGTGCCTATATATATATAGGGACGTAATTTATATATATATATATATATACATATATATAGGCTATATATATATATACGTATAGAAGCAGTAATTATTCTTGTACACCCCTAAACATGAATTTTTCGTCAATCATGATAACTGACGTTACAGCTTCTGTTTTTGGGATCTTTATTGTGCTTTTTTCTGTATTACTGATGATCAAGAGAATCAAAGAGAAAAATACAAATTTTAAACAGTTGCCTGGACCTATCGGTTTCCCTATTATTGGAGCTTCACATATAATTTCTAAGTATAAAAAACCATGGGATGCATTTTCTGATTTGAGAAAACAGTATGGTGATGTTTATGGTATACAGCTTGGAAGTAGAAATTGTGTTGTGGTCAGTTCTTTACCAATCATTAGAGAAGTATTGGTTAACAAATGCAACCAGTTTGGTAACCGTCCCGATTTTTTGAGGTTTCATGCCATTTTTCGAGGTGATAGAAATTATTGTAAGTAGATTATTGAATGATTTTTTTTTCTAATTAATAACGCGTTGCTTTTAAGTTAAACTCTATAAATTTCTATTTAGCTATAGCACTGTGCGATTGGTCTTCCAAACAGAAGACAAGGAGGCAACTCGCATTCCCTTTCATGCATCCAAAGGCTCGATCCTTTGGAAGCTCTCGTATGGATCAATATATAAGAACTGAAATGAAAGAATTGATACAATCGCTGGCTCTTGTTCAAGATCAAATTATAGAACCACGTTTTTATTTGTTGATTGCTACTGCAAATATATTTTATCAATTCTTGTGTAGCAAGAGCTACTCCCGTGAAGATCCAGAATTTTGCAATATAGTTAAAATCTATGACGTAGTATTTAGGGAACTCTTTCAAGGTTTTGCCGTTGATTTTATGCCTTGGTTGAAAGTTTTTAACGTTATGAAGATTTACAGATTGAAGAAATTGGCAGCAAATGTTTCTAAATTTACTGAAACCATCTTTGAAGAGCACGAGAAGGATTTCGATTCGGAACATCCGAGAGATCTTGTTGATATACTTCTTCAACACATTCATGAAAATTCTAAAGATAATGGTGATTTGACTAGAGAAGATGTTGGAATCATCGTCGAAGATCTTCTTGGTGGTCATTCAGTTTTGGGAAATTTATGGCTTTGGGGTCTCTACTTCTTAGCTGATTATCCCGAGATAAGAATGAAGATTAGAAACGAAGTTACAAAGGTTACTAAAAATATACGTTACCCTTCACTGGATGATCGTAGTTCCATGCCATATACTTATGCCACCATTTTGGAATTGATTCGAATTATCAGTTCTCCCATTATTCCTCACGTAGCATCCTGTGATACAGAGATACAAGGTATGTAAACGTACGACTTTATAACTAACAAAAACTAATATTTCTAACTAAAATAAACTATTTAATCGCAGGTTATCATGTTCGAAAAAATAGTTTAGTCATGTTTAACACTTGCGACTTGAATTTGGATCCAGAATTATGGGAGAAACCGAGAACATTTAATCCAGAGAGGTATGTAAGAAAACGGGAATTTTGACACAAAATTTTACACCTTATAATTAAATTTTACTTCTGTTAATACTTTAGATTCATCAATGAAGAGGGGAAAATACAAAAACCCAATCATTTCCTTCCATTCAGCACAGGAAAAAGAACCTGTTTAGGAGATGGTTTGGTCAAAGCTACTCTTTTCCTTGGAATGTCAACACTCCTCCAATGTTTTGATATTGTTTTACCACCGGATACACCCGGGCCAGATATATATGACGTGCCAGGTTTGGTTATCCCAAGAGAAGAGATAAAACTGATCTTTCGTGCAACCCCCAATTTATCAGACATGTCAGAATAGTAGAATGTTATATTATAAACATATAAACTTGCGCACATTATATTATTATTATTATTATAATTATTCTCTGATCTCGTTATGTTTTATGTATCATATAATATGAATTATGTAATTTATGCATCATTTACGATAGAATTAATCATTTCTAGCAATTATTTTAGGTGAATTTCAAGTCGAATTCCTTAATAAACAACATTGATAACTAATATGTATCATTGTATATAGTTGTGTTTTGTCGTCAGAAATGATTTAGATCCTTATAATGGATGTTAAATTTATGATTTTAACTGATTTTTGCAGTTATGAGAAATGATTATCCTACATTTTGATGTGCAATATTAATNCGAGAGAGAGCTTACACATCATCGCGTGTAGGATAAATACCTCTGATTAGGTTGTTATAACGTTGATCCGAGGTTCGTCCTTCCAAGTTCAAAGTTCAAATCAGTCCAAAGTTCGAAGTCGAAGTTCAAAGTCTATTAAAGACGGTGGCGACGAGATGCAGGTAAATCCACGGGCACATACTTACAGTATAGAGAAAAGAACTTAATTTCCCCCCTTGTGTCGTCATCGCACTTGCCTTTTATATGGGGGCTCTTTTTTCGAGATTTCCCCATGTACGTCAAAGGTGATGATCTTCGTTGACCAATGGTGGGCGAAGTGACAAACTTATGACACAACAGTTAACTCATCCTCTACAGGGAAGTATTGTCGTGGGAACGGAGTTTTAATGAGCGATTTTTATGAAAAAATTTGTCGGTTGTTTTTTCCTTTTTGTGTTAACCCTAACTTTTAATCTATTTAATAAAAATATTCGAATCTTAAATCCGGACCCTCACAGATCACATCTTTCGCAGGATTCACTTCCGTTCGGAGGTGACACAGCTTTCCAGTTTGTCACTCGGAATCTATAGCAAAAAAAAAGTAAACTATTAAACAGTGACGGAAAAAATTACTAATAAGACCACAGAAAAAATCCAATGTAGACCCTTTAATAAAAAGGAGGAGTCGATGAGTCGGACACTATCTTTGCACTGTGCGTGGGTTGGCCGCCGCTTGCTATTCGTCACCGCCCTAACTCCTTTTGATCGTCGCCACTCCGAGAAATTCGTCGCAACTTCGAAAAACTTATTGCTACTTCAAGATTCCCCAGTGTGGAAACTTCTACTATCATTTTGTGAATTCTACGGGTATTCATTTTCGCGCTAATTTAATGTGAACTCTTTTTCTCTCGTTGTCAGGGACGTAGTGGTTATGCCTTATGTCATCTTATTATTAGCATTAGCTAAGCCTCTATAATTATCAGTTGTAAATAGTTAATATCGATTAATAAACGGGTAATTTTATTATATGATAACGGGTAGAATGTATTTACTCTGGTTCTCTCCTTCCGCCTCTATTCCGTATTCGACAGTCCGCACACGCGGCCGTTCGAAATAACGAGATAAACGGCCAATCCGGTTTCCGTGTCTGTCCGCAAGACACAGTTGTGTCATCCTGACAATATACCATAGAGGAGCTGATCCTGCGGTCACATAAGTAATATAAAATAATTAAAACGAAAACCACCACTTATCAAAAACAGCTGAAATTTTTAATAGATAGAGCCATCACGTGCACAATTTCCGAGATGTTTTTCTTCCTCTCTTCCTATTGTATACAATGTAATTACTGTAATTTTGGTAGACTCTCTTAACTTTCATTACGTGTACATTAGTAATGGAACTCCCGGATATTCAAGAAATGAGATGCCATCGGAAAACGTACCACCCAAAATCCTACCGAAACAGAATTTTCCATCCTACCACTCAGACAAGAATTAAGTTATACCTAAGGCCATGAGTATCACGCCGTCTAGAAATTTTAGAACTGACATTTCTCTAGAATCTCGCTCAATTTAAAATTTCCATCGTTCGGATTATTCGACAAAATAACGTATTGTACAGATTTGAATCATAATTAAAGTGGTAATTTTGAATTTTGAAAACAGCAAAAACATTATCACTTTCTTGTGATTTTAAAATCAACTCACGAAAAATCAAATAAAAGCATTTATTAGACAACAAGATGTTCACAAACACAAAGATTCTTCTCACATTCACATTACATGAAAAAATTCCACTAGATCTACGTTCTTAAATTCTTAAATCAGAGGCAGTCAAGAAAATATCTTCTTGAAAGGTTTTTGAATTAATTGAAATTGTTCTTTTTTTCAACAGTTGTATGTTTATTTTTAAAGAATTATTTTGTAAATCAATTTCATCGTAGTTCCGCATGTTTTATAACATAAATTCCATTATCTCTAATCTAAAATGACAAACAATATTTAGCAACGTTTATTCAAATTTATATCTTTATGATAAAAAATAGTACGTACGTACATTTTTGGAATATATTTCATTCAAAAAACTTTGTCTTGACAATTTCGGTAGACGCAGTATATTCCTTCCATCCGTTTTTTCTCTACAGTATTAACGTTTCTTGAGTTTATTAAGCATTTAATGGATTTAGATAAAGCTTCAGAATTGAAGATACCGAAGATTAAGTTCTAGATGTTTTAATTTCGACGTAATTCAGAGAAAATTTCCGTTCGCAAGTGACATAGATCGGAAGAAGACGTTGATTAGGAATGGACACGAAATGAGTAAAATAATAAGTAATGGACACAACCGAAATTCGTCAAAATCGAGAATGAAAACAATTCGGAAATCAAATTTTGTGGATAGACACAATTCGGTAGTCAAGTTCGAGTATATTTAAAATTACGTAGTCAAAATCGATAAAAGGATAAATTTTGGAAAGTCAAAATCGGTAAAGGTCAAATTCTGAGCAGTCAAAATCGATAAAAGTCAAATTTCGAAAAGTCAAAGTCGGTAAAGGTCAATTTCGGTGAGAAGAATTAAACAAAAGACGTAATCTGTCGTGAAATTTTTAAATTTTAATTCATTTTCTATTTTTATTTTTAATTTCTCAACTGCTCAACGAATAAAAGACAACGATAACGATAACAAACAACACAAATACATAAAGAAAAAAATAAAAAACTATATACAAGGGAAACGAATCCCTGAATTTCTTCAAAGATCTGTAAAAGTAAAATGAAAATTATTAAGACTTTCATCTAGAAATTTCAATCATTCATAAAATAATAATTTTATTTGTTATTAAGAAACTGAAAATACATTTTTTCAATAAATATTTTTATTGAATTGGATATGAGACTTGTTTAAATGAAGACTAAACCGTCAAATCTCGATATAACGCATTTTAAAA